TGTGTTCCTTTATAGATGAAGAAGATAAAGATAGTTTACAAGAACTTGCTGCAGAACAAAAATGCTTTGTTGAGCACATCCTTTGTACAAAGCCTTTGCCATGCAGGTAAGGACTGACTCTCCCTTGTACACACAGGTAACAATTATGCATTTCAGTAATTCATACATATACATATACATGACATGACAAATATATTCATACATATACATGACAAATCATCCATACGAGTATCCAGTTCATCAGATGATTATCAAGGACTTTCCCAGGGACACTCTACATACTCTTGTTTTCTGTGTCCCAGTCCCTTGACTCTTACTCATTTTTTACGGTAATGTCAGTTCTTTAGAAAAGATTCCCTTAATTCCCCAGTCAAATTTAGGGCTCTCATGTTCTTGTTCTTAGTAGCACATAATATAATTTATACTTATATTTAATATCTATCACCATTATAATTACATATATACATGAGGACAGAGCCTATGTTTCCTAGTGTACACTGTGGTCTCTTCTCTGTCTACTCTGTAACGTAGTAGCTATTCGGTAAATACATGATGCATAAAATAAGGGGAATTCCCTAGAATGACTGCAGGTTTGTTGAGATGAGTAGATATATTATTTAGAAACATGGTTATGAAGAGAGAAAGCACAGATTTGGTAAGACAAGATAATGGAGGCATATGGAGTTTTGTGTTGCCATAAGGTGGCCAAGTAGAAGAGCTGATAAAGTTGGATTTGTAGGTCTGGAGTTTATAGAGTGATTCGGGTAGGACACTAAGCATGTGAGAATTGTCAGCATTGGAGCCATGATTCTGGCAAAGGTTACCTACAGAGGGACCCAGAATGAATAGAGACTTGAGAAGAGAGATGTACACAACACCCATTTTGTGCAGGAGCAGTGAGCAGAGCAGAGGAGCCCAGCCCAAGAAGGAAACTGGAGAAACTCTAGAGCTTGGAGGGAAACATGCTAAGGGAGGGGCCATGTCCAAGAGGAGGCCGTGGGTATCAGCATCATGAAAGCACAGCCTGGCAGTGATGAGCAGTAGAGCTAGATGCAGAATACGGAACTCCACAGAGAAAATACTTGTCGGGGAGGGGAAAATAGCCAGTTATGCCAGATGAAAAACTCAACAGGGAAATATATGGCAGTTTCAAAAAAATTAGTCCTAATCAGAATGAAATCATAAATAAGAAAATTATAAAACAAAAAACTATGACAACATGGAAGCCAGAACCACCATTACCTTTACTGGGAGAAGGGGCTGTGGCCAAGGAGGGTCACATGGGTCATGTTGGAGACCGCTGCACTATTGTAATCCTTGACTTGGATACTAGATACGTAGCATGTGTGGATTTCACACTTACAATGTGTAAAATTCTAGAGCCTTTGAGATCCCCCCTAACGCACTACCAAAAGGGTGAATAGGAGATAATGTTGACTGTTCTAAAAGTGAGAAAGATTAAGGAGAACTAGACATAGAGACATAATGAAA